AAACAAAACCAAGACCAAGACCAAGACCAAGACCAAGACCAAGACCAAGACCACCACCAAGACCAAGACCAAGACCAAGACCAAGACCACCACCACCACCACCAAGATCACCACCAGGACCACCACCACCACCAGCACCACCACCACAACAACAAACACACCACATCACAACAGAAACCAGCAAGACACAACACAAGCAAAAGCGCAGCCATAACAAACCAACCGCCATGGATGAGAATATTAGCCTGGCTACAGAGAGTGGTGGAAAGGCTACCCTGAAAAGAAAGAACAAGCCCACTCGACCTGGGACTTAATCACCTTCACCACTTTGACGAATACGGACGGCCATGGTGGGCGCTCTCGATCCTGGGCGTGGCTTGCAACACTTTCAGCGAGGGCGCTCAGGCCATGAAAGTGTATCGACAAAGGCGCTGCCAGGAAAGAGGTCCATACAAGCCTCCACGGATCATGCGGCTTCTTACCCAGCGACCAACTGCGAGTTCCTTCCCGATTTATCCCGCCTGAGACACCCAGTGCGCGCTAAGCTCACGGGGCTACCATTGCCTTTGGTGCTGGGGCTCTAGCAGGATAAAAAGTTAATACAGAATAGCCAACCGCCCACTTGCAACCTTTAGCGTATTCTCATCCATGAACGAACGACGCAATGAACAAAAGCAAAGCATCAATCAATCGACAACCTTATATATATAATATATACATATATATATATAAAAGACATATAAAATGTATAAATTCAATACTTCATATATTCTAGAAACTCCATGCCTATAATACAATATTATATATTCAACCTAAGGAATTAATCGAAAAATAACGAATGATTAAAAAACAACTAAATCAAATCGATTGAACATATCAAACAAAAAATAGACTTTGCAAAAGCATGCAACATATCGTAATTCACATATGCATATATATATATATTGATTAAATCAAATGCCAAAATAATATTTAAAATAATATATAAATATATTTTATCTATATGATTTTTGATTTTATCTTGTCAACTATATGTATATATAGAATAGTTAACCTATTTTACATATATATTCTATTCTTTATTATTAGATTTGCACCGTATTCACATCCCTCAATTTATCTTTGGTAAATCTATATCTATTATATATAACTACTTTGGAATAGTAATGAAATATCACATATAGAGATATATATCAAGGATTTCTGGAAATCTCTACGCTGTTTCTTTCGTACGCCGACCCTATTGTTGGCAAATGCGTTTTATCCTGTAGCCTGCAACCTATAAGTCTCAAGCATCCAACAGCTAGCAGCTAGCAGTTAATATTCTAACTTCAATATTGAGGTTTCAAGCACTTCACTCATGACCCATGACCTGTGCAATGTGAATTATTATCTCGCAAAAGTCAGCACAAAGTACTCAACTAGTCTTGGGATGTTGTATCAATCAATATGATTGGAAATTTGCATGATATGGAGAATTGCTTGCCTTCGACAATCCAAGCTTTCGGTTCCACTCGAGTGGTTCACTGGCTGTCCATTGGCAAATCTAGAATTGAATGCACCCGATGCCGTATCGTAGAACCACCCATCGTATTGCGTTCGGTCAAGTATCTGAGGCGAAGCAAATCGATTCACGTCGATCAGCCCATGTTTGAACAACGGTTGCAACCCTTTGAAGTCTTGCTCGGAGCCATTTTGTGCAGACTCCCTTTCGGATTCGTTATATTCACGGGATTGCGAAAAAAGGCATCTATGTGCACAGGAATGCGATAAAATGGGCATGTATGTTTTCTTCACAGTCAATTTTGATAGACACGTCAAAGAATTGAAATTTGACCCAACCCGACATGACTTGCCAGCGTCCAGCAAAAATTGAGTGTGAAGTGCATGGCCGTCTGCCATCGTGGCCTTCAAATCTAACCCCCTTTGCAAAACAATCAAACTATACAATTCAATTACAATACGTGAATGCTTTGCTTGTGCCATATATGCAAGAACATACATCCAACCCAGGACCAATGGACATTCAATTACATCAAACATTTAAAAATATATCATATAGACAAAAACTTTGGACAATCTATCTAGCTTCCGCGTCCCTGCAAAACAAATCACACAGCAAATCTGACCTGCAAAGATTCTTTTTATATAGCACTATCCTCCTCTCCAAGCTCTTTCAAGTTTGTTCCCATAGATTTATGGTGCTTGCAATCTGAACAATGATGAATCAAACCCTTACGAATCAAAAAAATATGTAATATGTAGGAACCGTTCCATGAAAAGCAGCGAAAACCCGTGCTCTTCAATGCCAGCCTCCATAACTCAAAAGTTAATAGTTTAATTTCCATTTGAATGTATTTCACTCCTAATTTCTATGCAAGCGCAAGGGAACATATTGTCCATGAGGAAGTAGAGCAAAGCATCGGATCTCTTCATTGTCCTTTTTCACCTATTCCAGGCACATAAATGAAGCGAATTGGAAATGATCGAAATTCTGCAACTAAAACAGGAAATTCTTCAGCACCATACTCATGCTAATTATTTCATAGGGTGAAGATAGCTCGCTAACTAATAGAAAGGCAAGATTAAGATACAAGGAAACATTCATATATATTTATATAAATCAATATTCCAAAAAAACAATGAAATTTGGGGATTAGATCAATCATTAAATACAATAAGCCAATAATAATCACAATAATAAGCCAAAATATACACAAATCAAGAATATAAATGAATTCGAGAACATACGAAAATTATTCGGAAATATACATATGCCCAATACCTTTAAACCATACCTTACAAAATACAGATAAAAAATGATAAAAATATAAACCTCAATGATTTAAATACAAATCAAGACAAACTCACTAGTTCTAAGAAATATTCATAATCATCACCTCCGGAAGAAATACTTTGTTTGCCTGCTCCAACACTGCAAACATATAATAATAAACAACTGCGCTATTCAAAATCGCACCAAATCCTGTTCATATCAACCCGCCTTACCTCCTATATCAACCAAATGCTTATAAAACGATATCTGCTGAATACCTCTTTTGCTTGCAACTCTTTCTTCATCCCAAAAATCATCAAACTAACAAACTTTCCTCCAAAACTCTTTCAGCCCCTCTTCATCCAATAAATATTTCAACCCCCCGAAATCCATTAAATCTTGAAATCACTTTTGCTTCAAGATCTCTTTGAGAATCTTTGCATTACAATAAAAAATTCGTTAGAAGATTGTAATCGTGCCAAATTCCATTGAAGCTTCAAACATTCCCCCATCACCAAAACGGTTGAACCAACAAGCCGTCTTCATCTCAGATTTTTTGAAATCCCTCTTCATCGTAAAAGTGCTTCAATCCACCATGTTCATATAAATCTTCTGCCTAATCTCTTGTGCTGGTAAATATATTTAAATATCTCTATATCCCAATTCCTTTCATCCCCAACTTCTTGAAATCAATCTTGATGAAATCAATCTTGAAGAACCAATGAACCAATCTTCGTGCTAAGTTGAATTGAACCTTCAATCTGTTTTGCCAACTTTCTGCATGCTAAAAATATTGGACTAAGAATCCCTTTCAACCAATATCTTTTGTTGCTAAAATCATTTGCTTGTGCAACCTTTTATTCTTGTAGTTGAATCGCAATCCTGCTTATTTCATCTGATTGACACAAAATATAAGCTCCTTGAACCAAAAAACACACTATAAATCAGAGTCATGCACCCCCAACGTGTCAAACCTTATCTGCGCAAATTTTATAATCTTCCCACTTCGTGCGCAAGGTCTTCTCAAACCTTCTTTCTCAAACCCATGCCTTGAACACCTTCTTTGTTCTGGAATCCTTTCAAAAAATGTTCATCAAATGATTTGTATTTTCTCAGATCCTGGTCCAGCTTGCTCCTTACAAAACTTATGCTTGCTGCAAGTGATTCTGCCAAACCCCTATCCCGTTATGTCAAACCTTCGCCGCGCAAAGCCACCTTTTATATCTATTCTTATAAATGAATCAACCAATTGCATTAAAGAAATTATCAAAATTTTATCATTCGAACCCAATACTATCATTATTCGCTCCAAGATTTAATTCTACTACTCAATCTATTCCTCCTAATGCCTTCTTTTGGAATTTAATACCATTGATAATATAACCTCCAAAATTACAATTCGAATATCACGTTAGTGTAATCGTATGCAACCCTAAATAATCAAATCGTAAAAATTTGTCAAAATAATTATCCTGACTGAAATTAAAACAAAATTCGTTTAAGCACAAACAATGCCCAATTAGAATATATAAATAGATAAATTAGCGTATATAATTCCCATAAAATACATTCTAATTATATATTCTTCCAATTTCTTCACAGTATTAACTTTACATTCATAAATAATAAGTAATTCTATATTTTTGATTTAATAGATAAATTAATGTGCCAATTTACATAATATAAACATATAACAAAATCCTCTTCGTCCTAGACAAACATCTTTTTTATCCTAATTTCTTTCCTTTGTGTCTCTTCTGTTTTTAAATAAATTATCGTTTTTTCCTTTTCTATTTATAATATGTAATATATAATATATACCATATTTTATTTTATTTACGCTATTTTATCCAAGAATCAATATATATTTTTTTTCCTATAATACCTTCTATTTCTTTCTTTTTCTTTCCCATTCCCATCCTCCCCAAAAAATTAATATTTTTTTTTTCAAAATAAAAAATCAAATATCTATATAAGAAATTGGTCGATGCCAAAAAAATTATCTATCCTATCCTTTAATTAATTTATCGAAATAATTCAGCAAATTTCTAAGACTAATTTAATAAATATCTAAACAAAGATCAAAACCATCTTCTTTATATATTCCATCTTAACATACATCAATCCTATACAATTCAATCATTTACAATCGCGACAATTACAACCATAAATTTGCAACTATATCCTTTTAGTATTTCTGCATATCATATTATTAATCTTTTTTGTTTTCTAAAGATTTTTTGTCTTGAAAAAGAATATTTAAATATATAATAGATATTTTTCTTATGCAATCTTTCGCTGTTTCCCTATTTATGTACATAATCTTATGAATATATCATATGTGTTTTGTTTCATTTCAGATCAATGCAGGATGAAGTCTCCAGAAACAGTCCGGAAATCCTCTAGGAGCCAAAAAGGACGAGCGTGCTGCAAAGCTACAGCAACATTTGTCGATGCAGATGCAGTGGCACTCACTTGACAAAATTTGTCCTCAACAGCTTGCCCTTGGTAGCGGCATTGCGAATAAGTTTGGTCACATGCTCGACATAGTCCCAGCTGCACATAGCTGTTTCAATGATCAAGGGATGAACTTTACCTGTATACTTCAGCCTCAACGAAAGCGCCCGGGGCTTTGGGCCAGGCAAGTTCTCGAAAATATGAAGGCAAGCGGAATTGCTGAAGACCAGCACGGAATTCTCTTTCAAGACTCCCTCATATGATGGGTATTTTGGTATCTCACTTGAATCCAGCGGAAACAAGTAGTCATCCTTGTAGTGAACTGGAAGACGTTCTGTCGCTGCCCTTGTCAAGATCTTCACGTATTTGCTTCCATGAGCCATGTAGTACACATTCACGGAGCCGAACATAGCATCAACATGAGGTCCTGAAGTGGAGTAATTGCCCAAGAACCACAAAGGCCAATTCAATCGGGGATGGCGAAGCCTAGGGAGAATTCCCTGGACAAATTTGTCCAGTTCTCCGTAGTTCTCATGCCACTTCTCAAATTTCACGATAAGGAATTCGTCATCATCCTTGTAGCCGTCCTCAGCGAGTGTCTTATGCAAATAGGCCTCAACTGCTTGAGATTTCTCTGCGGGTATAACTGGATGATCCTCAGGCCACTGGATCAGGAATGGAACGTCATCAGCAATCAATTGTCGCATTTTCTGAAGATCAGCCTCTGTGCTTGGTGGCGCAAACATTGGCATGGCCACGGAAGGAATATCAGACTTGGACCTTAGGATTGTATGAATGGAAAAAAACACGCAAGAGCTGCAAACCTTTGAGAAACTCACCTGAAAACATTGAACAGAAGATATGTCATGCAATGTGTTATGTAATCCAGGAGGCCCAATGTGCTCCTTCTTGTCGGGAACGGCTGGCTGGTAGCACACGTAGTCTTGAACGCCCTTCAGTGCCAGCCCAAGACGTAGTGCTGGCTTGAAGAGCATATCCAGGTTGAAGCACGACATTGACATGCGACGGAAGAAAAACAACCTAACTAATGATGTAGAACCTAGAACCCTCCACAGCCTTTGCTGTAGCCAAGTTGCTTCCAAGTTCAGCAAATGCAGCTAAGCATGACAAATTGTAACTCCAACACGAGTGCAGCGAGGGTGAAGGGCAGCACATTTTTGTTAGCCTCTGAAGTATTGAACATGCACATCGCTAAGTGAGGGCAGTGTGCAACTTTCATTCGAAAAGCACAGCCTCAAATTGTCTAATCTCAGCCTGCTGCCTGTCCATGACAATGTCATATGACTGGATTGTTGGACGTTGCAAGACCGCTTCTGGAAGAACACATGTTGTATGAGTTTAATCAAGCCGGTTTTGGACTACAGACTACGGTAGTGACTATTAACTAGCACGTCCTTTTTGCCAATAGAAGGATACTTGCTTGGGCTTTGTAGAGCTGTCGGGCGCTCTTTGGTCAACATAGCAGCCTATGGACACTCGGTCATGCCTGCTTGTACTGGTGGTCCGGTGATGCTCAAGTCTCCTTTTGAAGAGAAGTTGCAGGCTGAAGACCGAACGCAGGAGTCGCACATCGGAGGAGTTGGTGAAACTTCTAGCCTTCTAGGTGTTGACATTTTTGGACTTAGTTCTTGCTCCCTGAAGTTCTCAGTCTCATGCTGAGTCGACGAGGTGAAGCAACGGCGTTCTGGTCAACGTCTGGTGACGTTGCGACAGTATCCTGGTTTTGTTGTGTGGCATGCATTTGTTGGGTCATGGTGTGGGACCATGTTGTGACATCTGGCAGTTGTCCCAGTTGGCATTTTTTCAGCCCTAGATTCACTATACCAAAAATTCACCCGAAACACGTCTAGCTAGGTCATTATGATATCTTGTAAAATCTGCGACCGTCAGACTTCCATAGGGATGAGATGGGATGAACTCAGTTCTGTTGCTGTCCATTTCCCCTACAATCCAAATGTCTCTGAGAAAGCTCCGGTGAAGCCTGCACGGAGCAAGCAAGCTACCTCGAACATATCAGGGTCTCCTGTCTGAAGGACTGATTCGATCCAAGCCAGAACAGTTCTGCTTACAAACTGGAGGTTGGGTGGTTCCACGACTTGAACATTTTTTGAAATCAATCCCTTTCCCTACAAATACCTGCAGGCAGTCCATGCAAATGTTCTCGCTTCGATGATCGACATGCCAACGGAAACTGATGTGCATTGTGCTTGCAAGGCAACTTTGAGCGAAACATCACCACTCCGCAGCAGCTTGAGTTGGAATGTGTTGGCAACGTTGGTAAGCAGGACAGCAGTGTTACGTTGTCGGATCATCATTCATAGGTTTTATATGTGTTAGACAGGTTTGCCAATCTTGTCAGCTTCAGCGTTCTTCAGCACCTCGAACGCCAAGAGCGGTTCATATTCATTATTCACATACATACAATACCTGAGAAAGGAGGGGATAAAAGCCAGCCTCCATAAGAAGACATCAACTTGAGGCCAGAGGGGGTGAACGAAAGCTAGCCAGGCTTCCGGTGGTCTGCTGCTGGTGCTGCTGCTGCTCTGCAGGCGCCGGGTCGTCTGCTGCTGCTGCTGCTGGCGCTGGGTGGTCTGCTGCGGCTGCTGCTGCCGCGGCGTTGGGTATGCTGCTGCCGCTGCTGCTGCCGCCGCTGGGTGGTCTGCTGCTGCTGCTGGTGCTGCTGCTGCCGCTGCTGCCGCTGCTGCGCTGGGCGCTGCAGATGCTTGGTGTGCTGCAGCTGCTTGGTGGTCCCGCTCACCGCGCGCAGGGGGGAGTCGAACCGCGGGGGGGGGGGGGCCATAAGATTGATTTAATCAATTATTTGAGGTTTCTGAGGTGCGTCCACCCCGTCACTTAACTTGCTAAAGCAAGAGCAACTCCAGCTAGCTAAGGCTAGCTTTCGTGATATGGCAATGGGGGATGAAACCGAGAGTGCACTGGAACTGAAAGACTTGGCGTGCAACATCATCGGGCAAAGAGTGCCTTTGCTATGGGGTGAAGTCGACATTGCAGCCACCCCGACAGGGGGTAGAAATAGAAAGCAGAATACGTAGAAGGGGGGGTGCCCTTTTTTTGCTCCTGGTTCAAAGGCGCTTTCAAGCTGAAAAAGGGTACCCCTAAAGAATTGAGGGGCGCTTGGCGCTTGCTAGCTGCGTGTTCCCAAGCAATGAGCGAAGATGGCTGTGGGGGGTAAGGATACATATATGTATATGGGTGGTGCCCTTTTGCGTATGGTTGACAGGCATCTTTACCATTCAAAAAGGGCACCCCCAAGCAATGCCCAGAGTTCTTGCAAGCCCCCTTTCCCTACCCATCCTCCTCCGCTGTGCCTGTCTTCCCACAACATTCTGTTCCCCCTCCGGCCTTCACAGATCACACAATGTCAGAGTCTTAGAGACACGCGCCTCCCTCTCACGCCTAGTCGAACATTATTTCAATGGCACCCCCTTTCCTGGAGGAGTTCCACCCACTTTTCGCGCCCCACTGTCCCCTCTTTCCTATCGACATAAACTCCCACCCCTGGTAGAAGACGGTTTACATTGCATTCGCGCCTTTCGCCGTCAATTACATCACTTGCATCACTTGCACACCAAAAACCATCCGTTTTCAATCCCAAGCGGACCTGCGTTCTTTTCGCGCTTCCCCATCAGGCTCTGGGCTAGCCCTCCGAAATTGGCCCGTGCGCGACCACCCCCCACACCCCCTTTACTCACTTCGCTCGCCCAACCCAACTTCAGCCTAGCCTATCGGCTGGCTGTCGTGATACATATACTGTATATATATATATATACAAGCAGTTCCCGGGCAAGCCGGCGGCGGAAGCTTTCTATAAGAACAATTTGACCTATAGGAGTGTCCCTTCGCACATGCCCTGCGGACTCCCTTGTTTTCCGGCCCGCAACGATGGCGTCACGCAAGCACCCCGCAACGGCGTACTCGCTCTGGCAGTGTGCACGCAGCGGCTTCTTCTTTTGCTTTTCATCGGTGGTTCACAGCAACGCACCGAAGTCCAAGAGCACAGCCGACGCGTCACCGACTCACCACATCCTTTTGTTCCACACAGTGCAAAGAGTCGCGCGGTAGCAGCTGTCTATGCTGTTCTCAATAAGAGCATTTCACGGCTGTCTGCGCGATCCACAGCGATGCACGCAGACCGATGCCTCTTGGCAAGACCAAGGAACGGTTCACCCAGCACCTCTGGCAGGGTCTGGACGAGGTGGAACAACTGGCCACGGGGGTGGTTCTCTGCCAGCAATCCAAACCAGCGGGGGCTGCAGTAGCAATCTGCGCACCAGCGTGTGGCATATGCAAACGACCACCGTGCGCGGTTTTGGAAACCTTGATCCAGGTCCCAATGAAGTCAAGCCTCCTGGTTTCGCAATCGAGTGCATTGCGCTAGTTTAGCAGTCGCTGCAAGATGGTCCCTAACCAAAACCTCCCAGCAAGCTTCGCAGACGCCACTTTTCGTGTGCTCAAAGATGCCTTCTGCAGCGCGCGTGCTTGCGTTTGCGCACGTAATGCAGTGCGTCGCATCCAAGACAGGCGGCGCCCGCAGATGTTGCTGCAACACATCATTGAAATTTTGCAACATTGGATCTTGGAGCACAAAGAAGTTGGGCAAAGCCATGGCGAGACTGAGGCAGTCCACAACGACGTACCACAGGCAATCGCACTGGGTTGATTCGAAGACGTTGGAGTTGTAATGCAACATGACTGCTGGCTATGATCACGACTGTTCAGACAGCTTTTGAAAGCATATGCTCGAGCAATCTATACATATCCATATACAGCAGTGAAGCAACACATATGCTACAGCACATTTCTATATACTTATACATATCCAGATACAGCGCTCCATATATGCTACCTGTAGCAATGAATATATACCCTGACTTGCCAGGTTCGGAGCCGCCATTTTTATTGAAAAACGCAACATTTCGTGCGTCCGCTATCTCTCAACTATAGTAACTATAGGACCGGATAACTCTTTGAAGATAGAACTGATTAGAGCGGAGCCAAAAATACACACATCGAAACAGCAGAAGAAGAAGAAGAAGAAGAAGAAAAAGAAGATAAACTGAGAGTAGACTGAGGCAAGTGGAGACACGTAAGGTGTTGGGTGTGTGATGGAACGGATGATAAACTGATGAGTACGAGCGGAGTGAGATGAGTGGAGATATGTAAGGGGGGGTTGAGTGAGTGATGCTGTATCTCGTGACGGGTGTATAATGTCGAGAAGTGCGTTGTGCGTTGATGTGTTGATGATGATGATGATGGTTATGTTGATGTTGATGAGGATGATGAGGATGAAGATGAAGATGAAGATGATGCTGATGATGATGATGACGGTGATGATTGAAGTCATTGAATGAAGATGATGGTGAATGAAGAGGATGAGGACGGGAGGAAGGAAGAAGGACGGAGGATGCAGCAAGAAAAACAATTACGCAACCGTAGACCCCAAACAGTTTGTGTTTTTCAAAAACGAAACTAGAGCTTGCGACGTCCAGAGCTGGGAGACAAAGGATTGCAAGGCAGAGGCGGCCACAGCAGCCCAGAGCTGGGTGGAGAGTGAGTGAGAGTGAGAGTGAGTGAGCGCGAGTGTGAGTGAGAGTGAGAGTGAGTGTGAGAGTGAGTGCGGGTGAGTGAGTGTGCGTGTGAGTGGAAGAGTGAGTGAGTGAGTGAGTGAGTGTGTGAGGGAGTGCGAGTGTGAGTGAGAGTGAGCGTGAGTGGCAGGAAGTGGGACAAGCGAGCCGGGAACCCGACCACAAGCAACCAGCCTGGGAGACAAATGAAAAGAAGTGGGAGACAAATGAAAGGAAGTGGGAGACAACCTGGCCGGGAACCCGACCACAAGCACCCAGCCTGGAGACAAGTGAAACGAAGTGGGAGACAAATGACAGGAAGTAGGAGACAAGCCAGCCGGGAACCCGACCACAAGCACCTAGCCTGGGAGATTACACCACCCTGTTTTTCAAAATCGAAACTAGAGCTTGCGGCGTCCAGAGAGATTGCAAGGCAGAGACGGACACAGCAGTACAGAGCGGGCGGACACATCTTAAGAAAGAATTGAGAAGCCCTAACAGTAAACCTTTTGGGGAATTATTCTTCAAGCGCGAACATGATGCTGGTCATGCTGCCCAGTCAGCGGGGAGCTGACCACGTGAGGACAAGAAACAAAAGCATGAGGAGCGAAGGATGTGACATGAAATTGATTGTTGGTGCCTGACGTATGCCCTCCGCCCCAACTGAACAGAGAGATCGCTGCCACGCCGCCGAAATCCAATCCGGTCATTCATCCAACGGTTGCCCGAAAAGGAAAACAAAGCTGAGAGAGTTACGCAGTGCGGCGGGAATGCAATCCCGGAGACAGTCACGCACCCCTTGCAAAGGAGCAAGAACCTTTCACAGGCGAACCGGCGAACCTGTTCCAGCGGACAGGGCAGAAAACAGAAAGACAAAAAGAAAGAAACCACATGGGAGACAAATGAATAGAAATGCTACATGGCCAGCGGAAAAGGGCCGCAGCACCAGTGACAGACCTGGGAAACAAATGAATAGAAATGCTGCATGCCCAGCGGAAAAGGGCGGACACAAGCAGTGACAGACCTGGAAAACAAATGAATAGAAATGTTGCATCGCCAGCGGAAAAGGGCGGACACCAACAGTGACAGACCTGGGAGACTAATGAATAGAAATGCTGCATGGCGGACGAAAAAGGCGGACACCAGACAGACCTGGGAGACAAATGAATAGAAATGCTACATGGCCAACGGAAAAGGGCGGACAGCAGTAACGGACCTGGGAAACAAATGAATAGAAATGCTTCATGGCCAACGGACACGGGCGGACACCACCAGTGACAGACCTGAAAGACACATGAATAGAAATGCTACATGGCACCAGCAGTGACGGACCTGGGAGACAAATGCGTAGAAATGCTTCGTGGCCAATAGACAAGGACACACCAGCGACAGACCTGGGAGACAAAAGAATAGAAATGCTACATGGCCAGCGGCAAAGGGCGGACACCACCAGTGACAGGCCTGGGAGTCACATGAACAATTCTGCGAGACTTCCTCCCAAAAGGTAACTGGAAGACATGATCCCACCAGACATGAAAGGGCCATTTACATTGCGGGAACGATCCTGAGGTTGCAAAACGCAATGAAATTCGAGTGACAACTCATCCACCAGCAACACTTGCAATCGCATTTACAGTGCGGAAACCATCCAGGAGTTGCAAATTGCAATGGAATTCCATGAACAGCGCGCGCACAAGAAACAGGTGAAAACTCTTGTTGCAATGCAGGGACGATTCGACCATGACGCGAGACCGTTCCGCAACCGTCGTTCCGCAGAGCTTGACTTGCCAGGTTCGGAGCCACCCTTTGTATTGAAAAACGCAACATTTCGTGCGTCCGCTATCTCTCAAACACGCACTTTGTACGCGACTTCCTTCCAAAATGCATGTTGAACACCTGCAAAACCAGAGCTAAAGCTAACTAAAGCTAGAGCTGACTGGTGCTAGAGCTAACTGAAGCTAGAGCGACTGGAGTTAGAGCAAACTAAAGCTAGAGCTGACCCACAGCTAGAACTAACTGGAGTTAGAGCTGACTAAAGCTAGAGCTGACTGGAGCTAAAGCTGACTAGATAGAGTTGCCTGGAGCTAGAGAGCTGACTGAAACTAGAGCTAGCTAGAGCTGTTGAAAGTCCGTAACACGGCAGTTTTGCAACCTAAACTTCCTTTGATAAACGTCCTGGGTTCAGTCTCCTTTCCGGCTTGTGGACTGCAAAGTCTCTCTATGGATGTCCAGGCGACAAGGGCAACGAAAAACAAAAGTGCTGCGGCTTCGCAGCAACTCCAATCATTTGTCGATGCAAATGCAGTGGATTGGAGCAGCACTCAATTTACAAAATTTGTCCTCAACAGCTTGCCCTTGGTAGCGGCATTGCGAATAAGTTTGGTCACATGCTCGACATAGTCCCAGCTGCACATAGCTGTTTCAATGATCAAGGGATGAACTTTACCTGTATACTTCAGCCTCGACGAAAGCGCCCGGGGCTTTGGGCCAGGCAAGTTCTCGAAAATATGAAGGCAAGCGCGGAATTCTCTTTCAAGACTCCCTCATATGATGGGTACTTTGGTATCTCACTTGAATCCAGCGGAAACAAGTAGTCATCCTTGAAGTGAACTGGAAGACGTTCTGTCGCTGCCCTTGTCAAGATCTTCACGTTTTTGCTGCCATGAGCCATGTAGTATACGTTCACGGAGCCGAACATAGCATCAAGAAGTGGAGTAATTGCCCAAGAACCACAAAGGCTAATTCAATCGGGGATGGCGAAGCCTAGGGAGAATTCCCTGGACAAATTTGTCCAGTTCTCCGTAGTTCTCATGCCACTTCTCAAATTTCACGATAAGGAATTCGTCATCATCCTTGTAGCCGTCCTCAGCGAGTGTCTTATGCAAATAGGCCTCAACTGCTTGAGATTTCTCTGCGGGTATAACTGGATGATCCTCAGGCCACTGGATCAGGAATGGAACGTCATCAGCAATCAATTGTCGCATTTTCTGAAGATCAGCCTCTGTGCTTGGTGGCGCAAACATTGGCATGGCCACGGAAGGAATATCAGATTTGGACCTTAGGATTGTATGAATGGAAAAATCACGCAAGAGCTGCAAAGCTTTGAGAAACTCACCTGAAAACATTGAACAGAAGATATGTCATGTAATGTGTTATGTAACCCAAGAGGCCCAATGTGCTCCTTCTTGTCGGGAACGGCTGGCTGGTAGCACACGTAGTCTTGAACGCCCTTCAGTGCCAGCCCAAGACGTAGTGCTGGCTTGAAGAGCATATCCAGGTTGAAGCACGACATTGACATGCAATGGAAAAATCAAAGAGCGAGGAACCGTGTTCAGCCTTTGCTGCAGCCAGATAGCTGCAAACGTGCGTGCATAAACTGACTGACAGTGAACACTGTGCCGCGCAAAGGTGCATGCCATTACAGGATCGTGAAGTCTTTCACATCTGACCTGAGGCTGCTGTTAAAACGACTAGCCATTGGGACAATCACAAGTTGAAAGCGGACACAAATTGGATGAGTGTGGAACTGCAAGTCAAAGGTCGGAACATGAAAAGACTCCGAAGGAAGCCGTCGTTACAAACAAAAGGGCTTGTGAGGACACCATCACCAATATTCCAAGTCAATCATTGAACAACTATGAGCAACAACAATAGCGCACCTTGTAACGCCTGAGGTTACCTAAATAGAATCATGATCTGGCAAACATGTCTGCCAGAGTGATCACGTTAACTTTTATATTTAAGCTCAACCACAAGCTCTGTGTCCTGCGCGTTGCAGCGGATTTGTCTAAATCATTAAAATAGCCACGCTGGAAACTATTCCTCTCGGGGCCCTGACGTTAACCTTTTCCTCGCCAAAGCGCAGGAAAGGTAACGCTCCCCCGGCGACCCCTAAGCAGCCACCAAACCGGCGCTCCTTAGGCCCAAACACCTTTCTGAGAGGTCTACCTCACGGTGGCGCCACCTCAGTGCAAACTATGGCCGGTACTCCCATGGAGTGAGCTTCGTTCCTTTAACAACATCGTTGGTTGAAAAGTTTGCGCCGCGCGTATGGTTTGGGGGTCAGAAATACGAAGTAAACTTAACCAAAAAAGGTCACTCTCAGTGACAGTGCCCGACCTTCCCCTGGAAAGCGAGTGCAACGCAAGCAGCGAATCGACAAGGTGCGCAGAACGAACTGGCCCTTCATCCGGCTCTCGGATACGCCGCGCTAGCTAGCGACATCTTCATCGCTCGCAGCTCTAAAGCGTTGATGTGTTCCGGGTCTCCGGACCGGCAACCTCGCGCCATCTCCACAGTTTACCTGGAATGCATCCGTAGGCGGTGATACCTGGCAGGAATGTCAGAACCAAGCCGCAGGAGGATATCTTCTCCCATGATGGATACCTGCCCTGACACCTTTCGAACAAGACCAACCTCGGGAAAGCCTCGCTCCGTGGAGTGTCTCAGAGGCCGACGGCGGAGGGACCCGGGCCGAAGCCGCTCAACCAATGCTTGGACACTCGCGCACTCAAGAAATCCCAAACTGAAACAGGAAGCTTAGCAAACAGGTGACAACGCGAGCAAACGACTGTTGTCTATCAACGAGAGGCGCTGATCCATCCACGCTGTGGCGGCGTATTCCTGCTTAGGTGTGGGTGTAGTGGAATCAACGGGGAACCCCATAATACCCCAGCGCTAATATTGGGAGGATGCATACGTGGACCCAGCAAGCGTGGAATAACGAAGAGATGGATTGCGCTTCTTCCAACTGCTCTCCAGGAAGTCTTCTTCAGTGACCTGAGCGTTCAAATTTACAACATCCTTCAATGGCAATCGATGCCCCTCTCCTGTTGCAACCTCACAACCGTTCCAAGGCTCCCAGTTCATCCAATACAACTGCAGGCGACGTCCAAGACTCACTCCACTAACCAGGGCCTGCTTCCAAAGGACTCACTAGTCAAAGACGTCCATGGATGCGACATTCTCAGCCAAAGTGTGCGCCGGCCACCACTCAAAGAACCTTTTGGGAGGGACTCAACTCGTCCGTCAAGGAGAGCTCCTCGTCTGTCCACGTTTAGGCCGGACACTTCAGCAAACAAAACTTCTGGGAACCAAGCCTCCACTATACATACTATACGCGTCTAGATCTCGACCAAAACGTGGCCTGCAGCTGGGACTTGCGCCTGGCCTACTTCATTCTGCCCAGCGAGATCACCGCGGCAAGTTTGCTCGCGCAGCACGCCGCCAGAAGTCGACGCGTCACTAGCTGTCACGCGTTCTGATACAGGAATCCGGGAGTCTATTTATTCCAATGGGCTAGCGCCGCAAAACTTTCCAGTTCCAAGCGCGACTTCCTTCCCTAGCGTGCCTCGACGCCGGGGACCAAGTCTAAGTTCCCCCGTGTCCAACAGCAACGCACCGCCGCAGACGATTGAGACCTGTTGAAGTGGACGACGGAAAAGATCCTTCAGATAAGCCCGTCCTGCGACGATTGCTCCGCAAGCCAACCTGACATAGCGCGCGACCTGAACTTGGGGGGTATTGAATTCGGTCACGCATCAACATAATATAGCCCGATGATTTTAATCAACGTCTTGACCTTCCTTTGACGATTTCTGCCGGCTGGAGACTCGCGTTGTCCGCAAACCCAAGCAACGCAACAGGTCACAAGCGTTGGTTGCCATTGCGCGACTTTCGGCTCATGCAGGGTTGCTATTTATTCCAGCTCCTTACCTTTTTTGACCCACCCGCTTGGCAAACGAGACTCGCGGAATATGGCTGCGGAGTGCTCCTGGGGCGCCCAGACGCCGTCGCCGTGCCCGCAGCACAGCCGTTCTACACGGCAGTGTTGGTGGTGTACGCGCCGTGCGCGGCTGCCACCGCGCGCTTAGCCTCAATAGCCCGAGCGACTCCTTTCTTGGGACGTCGTCGTAGCCCCATGTGTTGATATCACCTACAATCAACTCCGCGGTCTTCCGGTAAACTTTCCTCAACTCATCACAGTTATCCAGAGAAACTCTAAACAAGTGAGCCGCGCTACTTCCAAAGGGGCCCCGTCTGATCTCTTGGTGTCCCGTGGCAAGCCGTTGCTCGCCCCTCAGGGCTTGATTGACGACACAGCGATGAATGTGTTGTGCTATCGCGGCAGAATCCACAAACTGCATTGGGAGCGCTTGAGTAGTTGGAAGGATTAGGATTAGGATTATGGAGGACTGCAACCTGCCGGATAAATCCGTGGTATAAACAGCCATGAGATGTCGAGGCTTTCCAAGCCCCTAGGCAGTAAGCAGCGCAAGCACCACTCGAGGGAAAAAAAAAGCCAGAATCCCGGCCCGGCTACATTGCGACGGGGGCCAAACCAGCATAGCAGAGGAAAGGCCGGCATGTGAAGGCCGCCCAACCAGCGGCCGACGAAATCCATCACATAAAAAGTGAAGTGACCAAAACTGGCAAATCGTAAAACGAATTGGCAAGAAATATCGCTCACCAAAGCCAAACACCTGGTAAGCATTGGCGGCAACCCGCAATCAGAATGAACCGCCGGGCCAGGCCAGATCTCCGGGGAAATTGAACCCTGTTCGCACCAACCAAGCCACACCATGTTTCCAAGGGAATCAAACCCTGAGCTGCACCATGCCTAAGGGGGAATCGAACCCCAGGCCGCATCATGTCTCCAGGTGAATCGAACCCCGACTTGCCAGCAAGACCTAGACACAGGCCAAGCAGCGCACCATCACGCGGGCGCCGTTGTCAGGGGACCGTAGCCGGGCATGTCATGGCCCTTGAGCCAAAATGGCTTGAGTAGTTGGATGCCATCCCCCTTGCATCCCTCTGGAGGGCTCCTGCTGGCGCCCCCAGCCCAAGCCCCATGTATGGCCACGACGGTGGGGGAGTGCGGAGTGCGGAACAAGTAGAAAAACACCGCGGGTGTCCAGAAGTGTTCATTCCCGCAACACTCGGCAAGGCCTTGCTCATCTACCGCCTGTTCCTCCAATGGACGGTGCTTTCGCAGATGTTGATCCGTAATGAAATAACTAGGCACACGTGACCTGTGCTGCAGAATATTGAGCATAGCTGAACAAAGTGGTTGGTTGTTCGGGCTGAAGAACACAGGGATCAACTGCAGGGGTCTGGATCCGGCGCACGGGGTTGCAGCCTGGTGTAGGAAGTGGTTCCCTTGGTGGCTGCTGCCTGCGCCGGTGGCGTTTACAAGCAGTAAGGGTCGGAAGGCGGTGTTGTGCTGCCACGAAAGCAGCAGGCTAAAAAAAAGGAATGGAGAGGTTGAATCTTTTCTGCTCCATCCACCCCACCCCAACTTCAATGTTGAGAAATTGGGTTTTCAACGGTTGATGTTCGAAGAACATGTCGGTGCTGCTGTACTCCAACCCAACATTGAAGTTGGAGGGCATGGGAGGCAGGGTTCCTCTTTTTGCATGGGGCCACAGCCACATTGTTGAACGCGGGCCCAGAAAATCAATGAGAAATGGTGGCAGTGTGGAGGGGGCCTCCTTGGTGAAAGTTGATGCGCCTTGAACTTGAAGGTTCATTGCAACATCCAAAATGACCAGAGGGTATAGGTCCGTCGCACCGCTTTCCGCATGGAGCCAACAGAGCCGACGGTGGACCTTGCGGGGGATTGAGCTCGAAAGTGAATTGGCTTCAGGGCTGGTGCGCCGGAAGTGGGGGCTGGATCCTTGGCTGAGAGTCACACCCGACTCCCGTCTCCCGTGTCTCACCAGTAGACCAATAGCACTGGGAGCTCCCACTCCCATGAGCAAGGGCCAGATATGCCTGAAAAAAGCCCAGCAAAGTCCTGATGCTGCAGGGGGGTCGCCCTTTCGGTGCGGCGCGCATCCTTTGGGAGAAGACCCGTCAGGAGCTCCTCCCATCAAGCGCCCTGAAGCCCAACCAATGCCACGGCAGAATAGAGCTTGTTTTGCGTTTAACCATGGGGGCATTTAGTCATACGCGTCAGCATGTTGCGGGCGCTGCGTCGCAGCCTCACAGCGTAATCAATAAGTAAACCCGACGGCAATGGAGAGGCTTACTTGCACGCGCCCTGAGACCACAAAGCGTGAGGTAGACCTACAAAACTCGACTGACGGACACTGCTCGAGAGCAAAGAACAAAACACGTTCAAGATTTCTGAGAGCGCCGGTCACTTTTGCTGCAACTAAAATCGCAAGGCCACCCTGAATGACGTATTGGCTATGTCTGCGCGCTAATGCTACTGCGTTGGTGAACATATTCACAACTTTGGGACACATGCAAAAGTGATCAGTTTTGAAGACGTGTTAAGTTCATTGAACACACCAAACACTTAATGTAAATCCAAACCTTGTTAACCGTCAAAAAAAAAACGAAATATATAATATGTCCACACACTCACAGGTCAATTGACTTGTGTTAAACGAGGCGAGACAAAACTGCGATCAATGAAGCCCACGCTCAAACTCCAAAGCAAAATTACGTTTTGTCTTCCAACGTCTTTGCCGTCTGCATCTTCGCAGGGGCAGCGTGGAGGTGAAAGCGTACACACACACATATATTTATATAAAATATATGAGTAAGCCTAAGCAAACACACGAGGGCACGCATATGAGAGCACACGTAGTATAAAAGGCAGACTCATGAGAGCACACATGCGACAGCGCACGTGTAAGAGCACACATATATGAGACCACACCTGTGAGACCCTGTGAGAGTACTCACATCGGACCCCGCGCGCGCAAAAACATGCGGTACATACGCGAAAATGCGCGTGTGAGAGCATAGATGTATGAGCAAGCGCGTGAGAGCACGCGCGTGACCGCGAAAGCGCACGAAAAAACAGCGCGCCTGAGAGAGCAACTTTCTGTGAGCAAGAACACGAGAGCGCACGCATGAGAGCACGAATACCCAAGCAAGCGCGCCATATGAAAGCGTGGGCCGAAATATGCGAGAGCAAACCTATGTAAGCAAACGCGTAGTAAGTAGGAGAACACATATGAGGGCAGAGCACAGATGGGATGATGGGAGAGCGCAGGCGTGAGAGCGCGCAAATCAGAGTGCAGGCGAGATCACACACACACACACACACACGCGAGTGTCACCGCCACAAAACACCACTTTCAGGTTCACAGATTGCTGTGCCACTTGCGAGATCTGCAAGTGGAGCTTCACAATGCCGTGCGACCGCCGCGAAATTAGCAGATTGAGGTTCACAAAGCGCGCGTCTGTTACGAAGTCTACGCTTCACAAGGGCCACAAAAAGCTGCACCTCACAAGACACTACGCCCTACGCCCGCCACAAGATCTGTACTTCAGGCGCGCAAAGCGTTGCGCCTGCTGCGACATCTGGCCCAGGTTCACAAACTGCTGCGCCTGCCATGAAATCTGCATTTCGAGGTGTGCAATGTGGCTGCCACGAAGGTTCACAAAAGCGCTGCGCCTGCCATGAAGTCTGCACTTCAAGGCTCACAAAAAGCTGCGCTTGCCACGGCGTCTAGACTTCAAGGTGCGCGCAGCTTTGCCGCTGCCACATAATCTGCACTTCACAAAGCGCTGTGACTGCCACGAAGCCAGCGCATCAAGACCCACATCGCGCAGCCCTGCCATAGCGGTTCACAACAGAAGCGCTTCCAAAAACAAGCGTCAAGATGCCAAAGGCAGGTTTCGCTCCGCGAAACCAGAGTGCGCCACAAATCCGTACCAAGTCCAAAGCGACGACATCTGCGCATCGAAGTAACATGAAGTAACAGCTCTGACCCCCTGCGCCTACGAAATCGATTTGAGAACACCAATGCGTGCGGGCTCCCTTGCGGCCCTTGCGCCTGCCACGAATGGTGGCCACCAAGTCCGAAATGCGCACGGCGCAGCAACGAGAGCGCAGTTGCGAAGAGCACCCTATAGCAGTTTCAGTGCCTGCGCGGTCGAATTTTTCGAAGATCCCGAGAGGTATGAATGCATCGTAATCAGCAGGGAATTAGCCACGCACGGATGAGCACCCTCGATCAAAGCCCGGCGTTAACTCTTACCCCAAGGTGACCACGCTGTTTGTTCAGGGATTCACGTGAGAAGCAAAAAGGTATAGAGGATTATAGAGGAACAAAATGAAGAAAGCAGTGGGCATCGATAGGTGAAACCAAAAATAGCCGGGGGCCGAGGAGAAAGACAACCGCGCAAGCAAAATTAGTTGTACGCAAGGAAAAGACAAGCGCACGATACCAAAGCGTGGAAGAAAGGTTTCCTCGTAGAACAGACCTGGGGCCTTAGCGTCACAAGCCAACCCGACACAGGGAAAAATATCAAGAAATTAATGGCAAGATTTCAGTCGAATGACAAGGGCCACAGAACAAATAAGGATGGTGATCATTTCAACACGGCCATGAAGAGGGCTTGAGATGGCCCTGACAAGCTTTCCCCTGCACAGTGGCAGTGACAACTTTGCTTTTCTTTCGCAGTTTTGTTTGAAAGGCCCATTGTGTTCAATGCTCAATTCATCCCCAATCCAGGCCACCCGAGCTCTTCCGTATGAGCGCCAAGAAGCTTGCTTTAGCGATTCCGCCCTTCAGAAAGAGGCCAAATCAAGAACATTGTTCTTTTCCCTTTACATTTTCTTATTCTTATTGTCATTATCATTGTGTATATGTATCCGTATATATGCATAATATTTTTGAACTTCTTTCCCAAGTGTTGCGAGTCTTGATCAGGGACCTGATCTGGCGATGGATGTGATGCAATCACGCTTCCGTGGTGCTGTGAAAGCTGCTGACACAAGGATTTTCTGTGAGGTAAGAAACAAAGACACATGTATATAAACAATTATGACTGTCTTCGCCGCCATCCTGCGTCTCCTCAACACACCAAGCTCTCCGGCCAGGTTTTCTTTTGGAATTCCGGCGCTCAAATGCCATGCCCGCCGTCGACGCGTCTACACCAGAAACGCGCGCTTCTTGGGTCACAGGGCCGACCGCCTCACAGGATAGTATAACCTCACCGGCCGCCATGCTGAAAAACAAGTTTGTTGAAAACAAATCTGACCTCTCACAAGAAGTCGTGGCTGAAAGACAGCTGAAAAGGAGTCATCAAATATTCACCTAAGACCTAGGCCTCCAGACTCGTTCCCTGCTTTACAGGAGTCATGACTGACCAGCTGCTTGCAGGCCAAGATTCAGCCTGCTCACATCCGGCCGAGATCTTCCCCATGGCAAGCTCTTCATGGAAACGACAACCTTTTTCGCCAACTGCGCAACGCTGAAACAAGAGCCGCTACTAGTACTTGTAAAAGAGACTTGAGGGGCACCAAGGAACGCTAGCATTTTGCTTCAGGCTGACTGACTGATGACCAACGATGACTAGTGACTAATGCGCCCATGTTCTCCAAACCCTTGCCTCAGCATCCAATGCGGACTGATTCAGCTCGTACCAAATTGATCCCTTTTCTGGGAATGGGAGCGCGAGCCATTCATCCTCAGCAATGACTTGCTTTTCTGCAAAATCCTTTCGATGTCTGACGCTGCGACCCTCGAAAACCATCGTGCATCTGCAATTTCGCCTGAGACAATGGACCAATTCAGGACGTCAAATCAAACATTATATAGCCAGTGGTTTTGTCTGAGCATTCCACTTTCACACATTTGAATCTCCGTGGTCAAGGCTTTGCACTTCACCACAAAGAAGAGGTTGCTCTTGTTCGCCTAAAATACAAATAAACTGCAGGCTTTTGACAGCGCCTGTTGAGGGTTCATGATCGACTTTAGAGGCGAAAGCAGCCACATTTTGGAGGCACGCAATGCAACATGCAAAGCTGCTAGGAACATGCATTGCATACCTTTTCAATCTAGCCCTTCAACATTGCAAATGAGGCACATGTGCAAGGTTGCCACCTCAGTCTCACATCAAAGCATAGGACTGCTACAAAAAACAGCAGCCCGCGTGCAATTCAACGTGAAACTCCACAAGAACGTCGCAACGCCTACAGACTTGCGAATGTAAACCAAATAATGTCCACTGACCTGGCGAGCTATTGATGGCCGCAACCAACCAACCAACCAACCAATCTCAGTTGCAGGAAACAGCTTCGTACTTTATGGCATAACAAACGTCCAGACTGGCAAGCTTCGAGGGGTCTTCGAAGAGCGCCACAGGAACTTACAGTTTCATGCAGTGTTTCGGAGGTTTTCGCTTTGCATCAACGTCATCCTCGCTGATTTTCAGCTTCAACAACGACACAGCAACACTTGCTGACATCATGATCCGGATGCTGGTGGGCAAAACCAAAAAAAAACAAAACCAAAAAGAGCGAATGACAGCTTAAACGATGATGGACAGAGCCGCAGAGGGGTGCAAGAGGTATTTGACACATTGAATATCCGAGGTCCATCATCTCCAACATCTGCCTCCCACTTTCTTCGTTTGATGTTCAAAAGGGGAACCATTGCTTGAGGGCTTTGCGAGAACAAACAATGACGCTACCTAAAATATGACGGAACAAAGCACCAATTGAGCAGCTTCGCTGATTTGTTGCCCAGACTTGCGTGTCTTATGTAATGTGGTAGCGCGTGTGAACCCCATCATACGCACAATGAATCCAAAGCTTGCCCAATAAAAGAGCGGCAATTGACCATGAACCGCCAAAGATGAGATTGCAGTAAGCAAGACAATCAAATTCGTCAGCCAAGCCAAGACCCTTCAGAGAAAGTGCTGAAGGCGGCCTTTTGACGCGTTCAAAGTATAGCTTTACCCTTCTATTCACCGCTACACCCTTCTCTTTTTGCTTGACCACAGGAGTGACCAAGGGTTCAATCTTCGCCTCTCGCTGGCTACTTCGGCGACGTTGCTAACCATCGTGGAACCGCCAAAAAACCAAGCAGAAACAGCGCAGCTGCCTCTTTATGCCATGGGTGCAACAGGGTCAGGCGCTGAAGCGGTCCGGTGACAATTAGGGCGTGTGGCCACGCAGGCCACTCATGTCCGATTGACGAGCGAGCGGTGGCGCGCCAAGAGCTTAAATCTTAAATGGAACAAAGCAAGAAATTTAACACTGCTGACGGGTGTGTTTTCTTTTCGTCAATCAGACAACAGTACGGGGAGGCCATGCACAGTGAGTGGTCTTGTTTCGTTAAACAGTCCGCCTGCAAGTGGGCGACTCCTTGAAGCGCGCCACCATAGAGCCAGGCTGCGACGAAGACATTCGCGTAAGTTACCCTGTCGACGCATTCATTCATGGCGTTGGCCTTGCTACGCGAGGATGCTCAGCGTGCTGCGCTTCTCCAAGGATCGCGGTTGTGCAACACCAGCATACCCATTCGGGGCACTGTGACCTCCATAGCCAAAGATCGCCGGCTTGTCAAATGGCGTTGAAGGTTAGGCCACAACTCATGTGTGTAGTTGCGGAAGACACGGCGGCCAGAAGGCCTTCCCTCGCTTCCTTTGCTGGCCAAACTCACAGCTGCGCTCAGGTCAAGGCTTGGCTGCCCAGAAAGCCACTGTAAGGAGCCGGCCACACTGCGGAATTCTTTCCACTCCTTCGCCTTCAGAACTTCACCACTAACACGCCCACCTCAAGCTGTCCACGTGGCATTTCCTCGATGAAGCATCTCTGCGCATCTCACCTTGAGGGTGGTTGGAATTGGACGTGCCCATTCTCATGTAAGCCAGCTCGCTCAGCGAGTAGCCCTTTCTGAATGCCACCAGGAAGTCGTCCGCGTGAATCGCCGTGGCAGCGAACATCTTGTTCTCGCTGTCGCGCTTGACCAAGCTCGTCAGAAGTCGGTGTGGCTCAAAGCGCTTCTCCTCACAGGTTCTGAGCGCTGACAGCCACCAAGATCGAATGGCTGAAGAAAAGCCGCGCAGGATTCGCTGAGATCTCATACAGCTCATCTGGGAAAGCGTTTGCAGCTCTCTGTAGCATGTCATGGAGAGCGACGAAAGCGCGGTTCTTGTTTGCTCTATTCCTTGGGAAGTGGGAGTTTATGGGCGTACTCCTATTGAGTGCAGCAAATTCTGGATCAAGCGTCCGCTTCTACATTTCCCCCGATAATTGGACCGGACGATCTGTTTTTGTGCGTTGCCTCCAGGAATGACGCGTTTCTGCGGGGATAAGAGGATATGCGCCTGCAAAGATCACGCGCGTAGACCGCGTCCAATTGAATCTTTTCATTGAAACCCGGACCGCGAAACGCTGCTTGGCGTGACCCGCGCGCCATGTGCTCATTGGCCCCAAGGTAGCTGCATTGATGGGACCATTAGAAAACGAGTGAGCTCCTTCGTTCAAAGGTAGCCTCGGTGCAGAGCTTTCATTGCATCAGGTAGAGGCGCGCTGCAAAAAGTGATGTCCGTTGGCAGACCAGGCACTGGTAGTCCGACAAGTTCTCGATCAGGTTGTTCTCCTTCTTGAAGGGCGTCGGTCTTGGGACGACCATCGGGTAGACCTGCTTGGCAGCGTCAATGCGCGCAGTGGTGCGCAGGTGCTTCGCAAGCCCATCTGCATGCGAGGGTCGGCAAGCTTGTCGTTTTTGTTGCGATAGTCGTTGATCGACAGCCGGAGCAATTCCAGGAGCGTTGAAGGGAAACTGTTTCGTCTTGATGACGGCAAAGGACAGGCCCCACCATCGCACCTGATCATCTGCGCATTGTCCAACTCCTGCAGGGCCACCGCGCAAGGTTAACTTGAATTTAGAAGGCGCGGCTGCCTCTCTATAAGGTCGCAAACCAGTTCTGGTTCACGGCGCTCAAGAAAAGTACAAGGGAAACCGATCAGTAGGAGCAGAGGTTTCCGCCGTTGGCTGCGGGTGGCTTCATGGACAAAGGCCTGTATTTCTGGGCCGCTCAGACCCTTACAATTTTTCAGTTCCTGCGTTCAAGCCAAACTTCTTGGCAAAGATTGTGGCCTTGGCGGCGCTGGCAAAGAGCTTGAGAACGTCCGCGTAGGAAGGTCTGTTTCTTTCAGTTGGCGCATTGCCAGCGCCTCGCACCGTGAGAAGATTGCCAGTCATCCGTTGCCTGGAGGCCAGCTGTAAACGCTCTCCGCACCCAGCTCTTCCGCTGGCAGCCTTTTGGCACCCCCTGCGGCGCGGGCGGCCGACGTCTTGTCCACGTCTGCCATCAGTCTTCGATCGCGCTGTAGGCTCGTGCTCGGGTCGCGTCACAGGGCGACGTTACGAAGTTTATGTTACAAGCTCCGGCAAATCCAAGTGCTCGAAGTGCACTTGGGATGATCTCAGCCGAAAGCAACCGCGGTGAGCCGGATTCAGCCTTCAACACTGCTGCAATCTTGGGATCGTGGAAGCCATGTTCACAAACCTGCCTTGCAGCTTTACTCCCACAAGCGGCATCTCATATTTCTCATAGACCCAAACGTCTCGGAGATTGTTGTAGCTCCAAGCAGGCGTGTTGGATCGACCGGATCAGGCTTGGGCGCAGCCCGCAGTTGGGTCGCGGGTGAGGATGCGTCCGCCTCAGTGGCTGAAGGGGGTGAGGTGTCGCCAGTGTCACCTCAACAACAATAAGGTCATCGGTCCGGACTTCAGAATCTTCAGACTCGGAAAGTTCATCTCCTTCACCTATAATAATAGTCTTCAGGATCGTCATCTGGCGGACTTCGAGCGCGGCAAGTTCATCTCCTTCACCTTCTTCAGGGGCGGTGCGTTGGGAGGATCAAATCGTGGAAGTCGTGGGCGTCGTCAATGGGCTCCCAACTCAGTGGTGAGCGCTCATAGCCAGGATCTGGAGTTCCATGAGGAATGAACATCCAAGTGCCACAGTTCGTATGTATGTCAAGTGAAGGTCCTGGATGTAGCTCCGCGAAACCACCTTGTGAGAACGAGGAACCGCCAAAGGACCAGGCAGAAACAAGCGCTGCAATGTCCAAAAGCTCGCTCAGCTGCCTACTTATGCCACGTGCAAAGGCGCAACACGGTCAAGCGCTCAAGGGGCCCGCTGAGAATATTGGGCCATGTGGCCATGCATTTCCATCATGTCTGATTGACGAACGAGCGGCGGCGTGCCAAAAGCTCAAAAGGAACAACGCAAGAAAATTCACAATTTGTGGCAATTTATTGAGACGGCAGTGGGCATCAAGCCACCATGACTCATTGTGAATGCTCCGAAATACTCGAAGGTAGCATCGATGCCTGTCTCCTGCAAAAACGTCTCCAGCTACTCAGCATTGTTTGAGAAAAGTTACCGATGCAAAAACTTCCTCTTTGACTTCTCGAAGGGCAGCTTCATGAAGGTCCTATGGGACACTGACTCTGCAGCAAGATTGGGCAGTGCGCCTGTGCACTCTGGCCTCACCGGCGTCAACCAGACCGGTTGGAAGTTTCCATGCTTTGGATTTTGCTGCTGGCCCAGACTTCTCTCGCACAAGCAAGATCTTGCCCTGCAAAAGAAGCATTGGAACGACTGAATTTGATCTAGAGAACAAACATAGTAAATAAACGTTTCAACAACATTTGAGCGCGCTTGACACGTCCGCGGAGTCCATGATTTGCGCCGTGCACCTCTGAGTTCGTCACAAGGGCACCTACTCCAATTGTGTGGCTAGCGTTGTGCGGCAACGTATTCGGGCAGCTAGAGGGCAGCCTCAGTAGTGTGGACATAGTTGGCAGGACCTAGCGCAAATTCTTTTGGTGCAGTGGCAGGTTGAGACTTGTGTAATCTTAGCTTGGCAGCCATTTTGTCATCATGACATAGTCCCTCTCTGCCTTGTTCACAGTTGAAATGCGCCCCGAAAGTGATGACACAAATTCTGGCAGGTGGTCCAAATTCAGCGGGGGAACGTGATGGTACTCGAAACCAAACTCAGAAATTGCAATTGGGCAGCCGCGCTGATATCCAAGCGGAGCCACCTTGCTTTTCAAGGCTGAAAGGCGCTGAAGGCGCTTTTATCAAGGCGCTGAAGCATTAAAAACAAATTCAAATTCACCAAGTTTGGGACACCCCGCGCTTGCCGTGCTTCATCCATTCATCTAGGGAAGAAGCCTGGATTGACACATCAGCTGTATCAAGAATGTCAACTGTCAAGCAACCAGCAAAGCAATGACAAAAGCTGAGCCTAACAGCAAAAAGAAGCGCAACCAAAACGCTAGGACTGACCGGAACGCATCTTGTTCTGCTGGAACCGTTGCAGGGTCCACAACTACCCCACCTTAGCAAAAAAACGAAGGTACGAAGTCCATCAAACTGATCCATGTGGTGTCAGATATTGAAACCAAGAACTGTCTCCTGCACTGTGAAACAAACATGAGAGGACAGAACTGCAAAAATGTCGACAAAAACAGCACCACTTCAAGCCCCAAACAGGCACAGCGGCAACTCTCCAAATCACAGCCACATGAACACATTGACAAAAACTATCCACAATGACAATGACTCAGTGAAAATGCTTTGAGCGTCCAGCCATACAAATCAAACTTGCAAGGCAAACTCTTGTTGCTGCCCTGCGATTCTCCAGATATCCAATAAGCCTGGGACACTCTTGAAAGCTCCGTGTTGCCTCCATTCTTTCCAGTGGCTTGCTTCTCAGGTGCAACTCTGTACTTCGATGCCCTACCAAGGAATAGTCTGACATGTGCCTTAACATGGCACCGAATCAATTAGACTTGGATTCTCCGGCAACTGCTCTCAATGCATTCGATTGACGTGTCTTCATTTTTGCATGCGCCAAAACCGCTTCCACGCACATTCAAACGTTGTGGAAGGTCCGTTCAATTCATAAAGTGCTTTATATGTATATCTATCTACTTATCTACCTATCTACTATCTTCCTATCTACCTATCTACCTATCTACCTATTTACCTATCTATCTACCTATCTACCTATCTACCTATCCATCTATCTATGTACCTATCTACCTATCTACCTACCTATCTACCTACCTATCTATCTATCTATCTATCTATCACACTTGTCGCATGTTAATTTCAAGGACACCCCACCACTCTTCTTGCACTGTCGTGTTCTATTAAAAAAACAGTGCCGGTGTTGGTGTTTTGGGGCACAACCAACGCGTCCACCTGCCATGGTTCACTGCGCCCAGTCAGCCACGTTGTAGTTTGAACACTGCAAGCCGACCCCTCAAACATTGGTAACAAACTGCACCTGCACAACAGTCTCTGCCGTGTTTCGCTGCAACAAATGAATACGTTCGCACAGGCCAAATACCATTAGTGTCTGGTTACCCGACTGTCTTTACTTGGATCTTTTGTTTTTCACCCTCTCCCGCTGCCGCTCTTTCGTTCTTTCGTCCGTTCTTTCTACACGGGAAATTGCAGCTTCGCAACAGCTTGCTTGTCAGCAGGCTTATCATCTTCCTCAGGGATTAGGAACACGGATATTGAAAGCTCATAAGTCGGAAGAGAACCCACACCTCACACCTTGCTGGCAGAACTGCAAGCCACGCACTTTACGTTGACTATGTTGACGGCGCCCAAGGACACTGCAGGAAGAGCCTGGTTTGCAAAAGGCTTCTGAAACTGAGAAAATCTTGTGTCGCCACTTCTTGACAGTCTTGTGACTTTGGACTTTGAGAATCCTCCCGAATCTCATGCGGAAATGACTTCATGCCAAGCTGCTGTCAAGGACAGGCGAGGTATTGCAGCAAGTCTTCTCCAAGCCATTGGAAAAGTGGAGTCAGAAAACTGAACATAAACTGAAAGCGTCTTGTTTGGTTTGGGATCCAGTTTTGCCGGGTTTTATGAATGCTCTTGGAGCGAAGAAGGCGCTGCCAACTTGAAGACTGGAGTTCACGTCCACACTCTGGCTCTCTCGCTCTCTATGAGCATGAACGCTGGCAGAAAACACTTGTTTTGGCTCCGGACACCCCACCAGCTCCACATGCACAAAGAAACTTTGCAAAAAAAACACTCGCCAAATTTTCAGACATACAAACTTGAACTCCAAACAGTGTCAATTTGCACATCGACAGTCCTTGTACCCACCCAAAACCACGAGACCCCTGTAGGTGACAAACCCTGACAAACCTTAGACTTGCCAACCTGGACGGACAAACAGGCATCTGCTCAAGTTTCTAAGGATGAGTGAGTGAGTGAGTGAGTGAGCGAGCGAGGGAGCGAGCGAGGGAGTGAGTGAGTGAGGGAGCGAGCGAGTGAGTGAGCGAGCGGTGGAGTGGAGTGGAGTAGAGTGGAGTGGAGTGCAGTGCAGTGCAGTGAATTGCAGTGCAGTGGAGTGGAGTGAGTGGGTGGGTGAGGTAGGTGAGGCAGGTGTGTGAGGTAGGCGAGTGGGTGAGTGGGTAAGTGAGTAGGTGAATGAGTGAGTGAGAGAGCGAGAGAAGAAAGAAAGAAAGAAAGGAAGAAAGGAAGAAAGGAAGAAAGAAAGAAAGAAAGAAAAAATGAATGAATGAATGAATGAATGTGAGAGTGAGTGTCAGTGTGAGCGTGAGTGTGAGTGTGAGAGAGTGAGAGTGAGCATCTGAGAGCACGGCTCAGATTGCACAGACTGCTGCGCCTGCCACGAAATCTACACTTGGAGGTTCGCAAAGTGCTGCCCCTGCTACGAAATCAGCGCTTCGAGGTTCACCAAGCGCAGCGCCTGCTGCGAAATCAGCTCTTTGAAGTTCACAAAGTGCTGCGCCTGCCACGAAGCACTTTGAGGCGAATTCGCAAAGCACGTGCCTGCCACGAAATCTGCGCTTCAAGATTCACATGCGGCAGCCCTGACAAAGCGTTTTGCCACAAGAACGCTTCCAAAGACAACGCGCAGATACCAAACGCAGCTTCCGCGCGAGACTTCCCCCGATTTCTGAAAACGAGGCGCATGTAGAAAAGTCACGATTCACTGCGCCTGTCGCGACATTGGAGCGTCGAAGATCACCACCATGTTCAAAGTGCTGCCCCTGCCACGAAATCTCCGTATCGAAGTAACATCCCTTGCGCCTGTCACGAGAAGTCGACTTTAGATCACGACAGCGCGAGGTTTCCCCTGCGCCTGCCGCGAAAAGTGACTGCCACGTCCGAAAATGCGCGCGATGAGCGCCCGCTGTGCCCAGGCAGGTTTTGCGAGCCTGCGCAGTCGACATGCACTTCGAGGATTTCGAGAGGCGTGACACCGACTGCAAATAGCATTTGCGACACCTCGATTAGACACCGGCCCTTAACCCCTACCCTAAAAACCCCTAGTGTGACCACACTGTTTGGGGAACAAGAACAAGGAAAAAAACTTATATATACAAATCGCAGCTGAAGGTTGATGAACTGTGACACCCCCACTCAACCATCTGCACGCGCCCTTTGATCAAGAAAACAACATGATTTGCTCTCAACCACCTTACTCATGTTGCTCGTACTGTTTTTCTCTATTCAATCCAGCGCTTGGTGAAGGTGAAAATGAGAGCTCCAGTTCTGGATGCTCTCACTCCATTCGAACGCGCTAAGCTCACGGAGAACGATCTATCATCGCTCTGTCCACGCAACTACAGTAGGGCGCAGCAAGCCTCAAGAAACAAAACAACGCCCGCTAAACCAAAACTGAAGTGCTGGAACACACGAAGGAAACTTGCACCAAAGCACATGGGCATTGTTGGCCGCTGCAGGAGAGCTGTCCTCTTGGTGGTGATCAAAAAGCAAAGCAAGAAAACATTGTGGTTGACTGCGTTGAATGTTGGTTGGCGGCAAACTGTAGGTCATCAACCAGCCCTTGACAAATGGAACCTTTGGTTCCCTAAAACTTAACCATGAACCCATGAAACCAATCTTTTTCAACGTATTTCGGACAGGGCCTCTTTTCCCTCAACATGTTTTCTTTGATTCCTTTCTCATAATCAGCAAAGAAACAAGGGCATCACATCAAACCTACAAGAGTTATTTTTGTGTTCGCGCGCGATAGAAATAACCGCCGGCGGACGGTGCAAACGTGGAATAAGCAGTGGGTTCCACAGGATTTTTGCTGCAGCGACTTCGTCATCCTTTTGGCGCCTTGAACAACCCGAGCCCGAGAAAAGAATACTACAAAGCAAGGCTCACAGGGTTTCTTCCTCGAACATTGTGACAGCGACCTCCAGAAAACCAACGGCGCAACCCAGCGACCGGTTGGTTGTTTTGGGCCTGGCGTGACTTTGGCAAAACAATCTTCCCAGAATTGAGCCTGAATGGGCGGCAGAGGAGGCGGCGCCGTTCTCCTGACCTGCAGGCAGCGCATTGATGTTGTCCTCCTGGAGCAAGATGTTGGAGGGCATGGTCCATGCAGGACATTTGGAAACCTAATGATCCTTTGAGCTCATGATACCAGAGAAGGTGCGTACACTAATCCGTATGCGGATTTGAGAAGTTCACACACCTCGTGTTCACGAAGGTTCATCTTCTCTCGCGTGCATGCTTGCAGATGGTCTTACCACAGACCGAGCAGAACCGACCTGTTGCGGTCTGTGATTCGAGCAGCCAAATATCAGTTGGCGGACGAACAACTCGTTCTGGACCAGAAAAAGGAAGAACGAGAGAGGCGCAAGCAAATAGCCACCCAGCGTGTAGAAGCCCACAAGAAGAAACCAGGCAAAGACCTGGAGGAATGAATTCGTGGTTCTCCGCTTTTTGCTGAAGTGCAAGTTTCGGCATGTGCATCGTGTTTGATCGTGTTTTTCTGTGAGTAACTTTCGGTAGCGCTGCAGAGAGAGAGGGCAATGAGCTAGGTGTTTTTCGCGCCGCAATTTTATTGGTAAAAGCACGCAAAGCATGATTTCTTTATGTGAGCCAGAGACAGCGTCGTCATGTTCAGACAGGAAGTGATCCTCAGTGAATATGTTTTTTCAAATTTGGTTTGCAGCTTTATTCTCGAAGAATGTTTCGGCGCGAGTCTTGCAAGGCTTTTCGACAGCTCAGTTTGTTAGTGAGTGAGATGGCATTCCAATCCAGGCCAGTGGCTCCAGAAGAGCTGGCAAGGGCTCAGGAGGTCATATCCCGAGCGCAGCATGCTGGAGTGAAGAGCAGAAAGAATTCCGATCAAGGTTATGCAGCGATGAATGACGGATGCAAACGTCTTCGAGCCCAAGGTTTGGAAGATTTATATAGCCTTGGATGAATCACGGGAGCCAGTGGCATACGCTGACCCAGAGCAAAGTTTGCATCAGCTGCGCCTTGAAGGAGGAGTGCCTTCATCCCAGATTTCGGCGAAGCCAGAGAAGGGAGGCCACAAGAAGGTGAGCTTGCCAGTTGGGATTGCGAGTTTGAGGGATTGGGGCACCACAATCTGTCGTTTGCCAAAGGTGAGCAAGTTTAATTGACCTACGACAATTTGTTCAACGACAAGGATTACCAGAGCTACTTGCCATGGATCCAGGCTCATGGGAAGCTTGCAAGGGCAAAAAGTTTGGCGATTTTGCCGCTTACTTGGAAGCCATTAGCTATGCCGAGAGTGCGAATGCTCAAGCCCCAGTTTTCCAGGAAGCGCCGCGCGACGCGAAAAGCGTTGAGAACATAGCGAAAGAGAGACACCTGCGCATTCTGGAGAGGACTTGAGGAGAATCATAGGAAGATTTCTTTTACATATAGAAGTTTAAGGAATGAAAAAGCAGTGTCTCGTGTGCATGATCCATAGATCACAACCGCAAACACCCTGTACTCTAGGCAGAGCGACAAAATGGCGCCGGAAGGGTAGAGGGTAGGGAAAAAGGAGTGTTTGCACTCATTGCATCCATACCTACAGATACACGCCGCCCTTCCACTGCCTTGCCCAACAGCCATCTTATTCTAGTTTAATATTCGCTTATTGAGACCCCTTCCTCCTGCACTTGTGCGCTATCCATCGGCCACGCAAACCACCAGCCACAACACCGAGCCAGCCCAGCATTACAACATCTGCTGCTCCGAAAAGGTGTTCCTTTGACGGACCGTCGAATGCCTTCGTTGCAAATGCGCCCCATCATCGCACTTTCCTTCTCAACATTGCCAGAGTGGGCGCATATCCATAAGCCCGCCGTAGCCTTTGCGCCCCTAACTCCCTCGCTCGCACTTTTCATTCGCAATATCAATTTTCCTGCCGCGCTTCCTACCCTCAAAGTTCGTCGTCGGCCGTGTGACACCGACCTTGCTCCGCTCTGCGGCAATCGAGAAAACCTGCGAATTACATTCTGCTGATTGTTGGACCGCCCTCTCAGGTTTCACACCTGATCCGTCCAAGCTAGTTGCACGTAATTGGTTTGCGTATTAAAAAACTCTCTTCTGATATGTGCTGGGCTGACGCTGGGGTGCTGGCGACCTTGAAGACTAGAGCATTGCACTGAAACGCAATATTTTCCACAAGCGCTGGTGACGGGCTGGGTGCACCGTCACCACCTATATATGAGTGAAAGTTGCGTCGCGACCACAGCCTGGCCCGAACTGTGCGCGTATGACTCCAGCCGCTCTCGCTCTGGCGCGATGCGCGTCTTTAAGTTTGGGGCTCACTTCTTGGGGCAGGCGAAGCAGATTCTTTTTCATTGGCCCAAACAAACCGGTTGGAAGTCTCGGAGACGCATCTGTCGGGACACAAGCAAGGGCCCTCCACTATACAGCAAGTATTTTGGTCCTTCCTTCACCGCATCACAAATCTCAGCTTCAAAACAAAGAAAGTGCATTCTGTGGTTATCCAAGTGTCCCTACGGCAGCTTGAAGCAACCGCTTGGGGACATTTCTTTTATCAGCAACGCTGCTTTATGCTGC